AGCTAAGAGAATACGCCATCCCCTTTTCCTTATGAATCAGGGTGAAGTCTCTCTCAGGGAGGAGAGATAGGGAATGGCAAAGGACACAATGACAAAGGAGATTAATCAGAACTGGCTTTGACAAGCACTGTGGCGATTGGACAATTAAAGCAAACATGGGGGGAGAAGAACGAACTGGGGAGGAGGGTAGAGAAAACAGTGCAACAATGAATGAATGAGAAGCCAAAATCTCTGTAAATGTTCATTAAAACAAATAAAATTTAATAATAATTAAAAAAAAAGAAGTGCGCTATCAATTGAAAGGCATCCAGTCATAATCCACTAGCTGAAACGGGCAATCTCCTCCTGTGCGATTAACAATCTCTGAAGACCCGCAGAGTTAGCCAGTTATGGGTTGGTTGTGTGACTCGATGGAGCATAACAACCACTTAAAGATGAAACTGTAAATATGGGGAGCAAGTGGCACATTTTGATCTAACTGTATCCACAGTCAGACTCTAGAAAGGCGAAGCTCGTTTGCGAAAAACTAAGCAACAACAGCTTCCCTGGTTCCTGATACAAAGATGAGAAGCTTGGAAGAAGGTAGCAGGTTCGGTAAGCTAGTCACTCACCAAGTAAGAAATACCCCGACCTTGCGACCCCTTCTTACGGCATAGAACATTCCGAACCGCCAACAGCTGCAGCGACTGCAGCTCACAGTGGCTAAAGCAAATCTGCGAGCAAGAGAGAAAAGCCTGGTCATTTCTGACTCCAAAGGAGAAGCATTTTGGCCCCAAAGCTCACAGCCGAAGGACGCGAAAATAACACACAAACTTCCGGCAGCGGCGCAGCGCTATGACGAGTCCCTTCCCTCGGTGATGAATGCTGCGCACGGGGCGGAGTCACGTGTGGGCGGGGCCAGGGGGAAATAAGAGCCTCGGGTGGGTGGGGTCTGCAGCACCTCCGAGGGGGGAGGATGGCACAGGGTGGTGGTGTTGTTATGTTCCCTGGAGTCGCTTGCTACTCATAGCCACCCTATGCACAACAGCCCTAAACTCTGCTCTGTCCTGTGCCAATCGCACTGTCTCTGACACACCTATCCCGATTACCCCAGTCACTGAATCAATCCACCTCATAGAGGGCCTTCCCCTCCTGCGCTGT